TAGATGTGGTGCTCGAGGACATGGTATAGATGGACCTGGCAGTGTTAGGTTAACGGTTGGACTTGATGATCTTAAGGGTCTTTTCCAACCTTGACGATTCTATGATTCTGTGATTTCCCAACCAGCTTGGTGCTTCTAAGATAAATCACACAAACACCACTGAGAATAGTAATATACAGCTTCTAGGTTTTACTAGTAATAACAATTCTGTATGTATATTAATAATGAGTTATACATATATCTTGGTATAACTCAAAGGCAAAGTATAGTACAAGGAAAAATATTCTGCAACAAATGAGTTAACAAGGTCTTGAGTGATAAACAATAGATGTTAGGAATTAATGTCACCGCAGTTGTCCATTTTGGATGACACTGTATCCAGAGAACAGCACTTCACTGTATTGTGGGAGGGGCAGACTGGTTTTGCCCCAAGGAGCTATGTGGACTCAAGAGCCTGCTAACTCACTATTCCCTTGCATGAATGGACTGCATAGCAGCGTGAAACAATGGCTGTTCTGCTCTTGGAGAGCCATCACTGGGACAGTGATATGCAGGAATAATACCTCCTCCTAAGCTTGATAACATGCGGTACAGCAGTCTCTGAGAAGAAAGGTACCATCTTGCATAGCGCCACTGGTGACAGGGATTCATGATTTCTTTTGAGCTGGCACTGGTCTCACGCACTTTGTGTCTGGAATATTGGTCAATCCTTCAAGGCATGTCTACACACTTGTCAACCTTTCCATGAGTTTTGCTGAAGCCCTTGAGCAGGAGTAGAATCTCTGGACGTAGCCCAGGAGATAGCCCAAGGTGTCTGTAGCCCATAATTCTCTATAACTTTCTCTCCCCATTTGGCTAATTCTCTACATTCTTCTTTCCTGATACAGAGCTGATGCAGATAGCGCCTTCCCTCTCTTTGGACACTTGCCAGGAGCCTCCTTCTGTTCTTCTGCACTGTGGAACTACTATAGACCCTCTAGCAAAGGCTCAATTTCCCCTATAGTGTTTGTCAATCACACAGTGAAAAAGCTGAAAAAACCAGCCTAACCGTCATTTGACAATTCGTTTCCCAAGTTTCCTGCAGATCTATTTTGGTCATTCTTGTGACCAGAGTAATTTCCAGGATGCTTGGTACTGACACAAATAATTCATGTTAGTAAACCATAAAATCAGTCAGACTGCTTTTAATGAAAACAAAGCAAATGGAAAAGATTTCAAGATTATGGTCCTTTGCATTTCTTCTACTTAGAAGCAAAGTGCAAATTAGCAAAAGAAGCCTTATTTTGCAGCTGCTGCAGCTGCAACTATTGTTAGGTAACCATTTTGACCTCCAGCAACAAGTGCTACATCTACACTGGCAAATGAAACAGGCCCAGGAACTGACTGAATTGCTGTGATTCAGACTTTTGAGCATGGTCCCTGACAATGTTTTGGCCCATGTCAAATAGGCCTCTCTCAGGTACTTGGTTGTGTGCAGCAGGAAAAGTATGACATAGTTGCCATCATGGAAACATGGTGGGATGACTCGCACAACTGGAGTGCTGCAATGGATGGCTATAAACTCTTCAGAAGGGATAGGCAAGGAAGAAGCGGCGGTGGGGTAGCCCTGTGTGTTAGGGAGTGTTTTGATTGTCTAGAGCTTAATGATGGTGATGATAACGTTCAGTGTTTATGGGTAAGAATCAGGGGGAAGGCCAACAAGGCAGCTATCATGGTGGGAGTCTGTTACAGACCACCCAACCAGGATGAAGAGGCGGATGACGTATTCTATAAGCAGCTGGGAGAAGTCTCATGATCACTAGCCCTTGCTCTCGTGGAGGAATTCAACTTACCAGATGCCAGTAAGTCACTGCGCTGGACCTGTTGTTTGTGAACAGAGAAGGCCTGGCGGGTGATGTGATGGTTGGAGGCTGTCTTGG